CTTTTACCAATGATACAGCACTGGTGCGACCAAAACTTGAGTACGCTTCTTTGATATGGAACCCTTCCTATGCGTATTATATAAATATCTTAGAAAATGTACAAAAAATATTTCTTAAATATTGTGCTTATAAAATTGCTGGCGCATATGCAGAAGTCCAACTTGTTCTGCTCCGCCGTTTCAAACTAGAGTCGTTACAATTAAGACGTTTCATTGCTGGCCTGTTATTTCTTCATAAGCTTTTGCACAACAGAGTGGGTGCACCAGAACTTCTCCATAGGTTACATTTCTGTATACCGCGGTTAAATACGAGGACTCTAACTTTCTACTGCAGTACCTCCCGTACTAACGTATTATCTTATTCTCCGCTACATTCTACATGCAATAATTATAACTCCATAGCAGACAGTTCTGTCACTAATTTTGATTGTATCAATAAGATCTTGTCGAACTTCAGGTACTACTATAATAATAGGTTTTTTTACGTCTGTTTCATGTATGCATACTATAAGTCAAGATACCATTACATTGCTCTGTAATTGGAATAGTCTGTTGGGCAATTATGTATAAATAAATAAACTAGTGCAGGAGTTGAATCCGCAGGGCCACCATCTACGCCGAGCGTTTGCCAAACCAATGTTAGAGCGCTTTCCAAGTTTGAACAATATTCTATTTTCTGATGAAGCTGATGATTCCTTGAGTGGATTTGTCAACAAGCAAAATTACCGGTATTGGCCTGCAGAAAATCACAAATTAAAACACGAACGACCTTTGCATTCGCGTTATGTTACAGTTTGGGCGCCCATGTCGACTGAAAGAATCATCGGACCCTATTTCTTCGAAAACGAGCAAGGCCAGACCAGAACAGTAAATTCTAATCGCAGCAATGCTACGTAACTTTTTCTCTCCACAACTGCATAATTTTGAAGACTAAATGTGTTTTGGGAAACTGATATCGCGACGAGAGGACGTTCCCTGGCCTCCCCGGATCCCAGATCTCACGCCACTGGATTTTTTCTCTGGGGATACCTTAAGAGCCGCGGATACTCCAATAAACCGATGACAATATCCCAGCTCGAGCACAACATATCCGAGGAGATGTCCGCTATCCCACGAGCGATATGCCAGCGAGTTCTTACGAATTTGAAGTCGAGATTCCAGGAGTACGTACGTCTCAATGGCTCGAATCTCAATGATGTTATTTTAAAAAAATAGAGTTACCATATACCTACTTCATTCAAAATATAAATTACCTTCCCTAGGCTTTGTAGTTTTTCTGGGATTTTTTAAAATCCGCTCAACTTAATGGTCCACCCTGTACTTGGGGCGATATTCCCGATCCAAAAAGTGGTTCTGCGTCTCTAAAGCCAGTGGTAGCTGTTTTGGATGTACCAGATCCGGTACCATCGTTCACCGCCCCGAAAAACCAAGCGAGCCCTCTCATAATTATTGTCGCTACACACCCGTTGATCGTTATGCAAACTTCGACTACGGGCCGAAATGAGGGAAATAATACTTCAAAACTTCAAATGCACCCTATCGTTTGCTGCCTTTTAAGAAAACTACTTAAGACGGATCGGGAACACCTAGCTTACGTTGTTTGCATGGTGAAGCTCGCGTCACTGATCCTAAATGTTATAGAAGCTTTAGATTAACCGAGTGCTACCCTCATATGAAAACTTCTGCCCAAAATTCCTTCTTTTTCTTCATAAGTAGAAGAATGTGTGGTAGTCCGATGAAGCTAACAACACCTAACCTACAAGAGCGATCGCCAGCCTGTCAGTGATCGTGTCCATGATTTAGCCACAAATATTCCGTTCATTCTGCTAAGTTACATAGACAGAATTCACATGGTCAGATCCCAGACACAGTCACCGACATGTCACCGACCACTCTAAGAACAGACCTAAGAAGGTTTGATGGAAATCCGAGAGATAAGAGGATTTAGCTTTTTGAGATGCGACTTGATGTTAACACTAACCTTAATAATTGATCCCAAATGTCGTTCATTACTCCATATGTTATGCTTTGATTTCAACTGATAATTAGTGTGTGATAATTATGATACATGATACGAGTAAGACTGATATCATGATTACCTGTTGTACTAATTTCCAATCAACCAACATAATGATGCGTTAATTGGAATCGAATAAATATGGTATAGAGAATTAGTGATACCCTGCACATAATTACTTATACACATACGACTAAGATTTTGTCACATTGGGGAGATACAATACACGATGAAAACATGGCAAAGACAAACTTAGTAATGCATGATGAACGATCTCTAGCTTCGGGAGGAGCATGATACTCCTTTTCAACTGCTCTGTAGTCCTTGATTTGCAGTCATAAAGCCTTATTTAGTCGAAACCTCCGTAGAGAGAAGTCTGGTGACATTGGAGGTCAAATGTCAATGCCTGATCTGGATATCGATGAATAAAAAAAAGAAAACAATTCAAAAGATGACACAGGTCCACAAAAAGTGGTGTGTGCTGGTGTCCCACTATATGTATATGCATCTCATGTGTTGCTTCAAGCTAAACACGAACAAGTTGGTTTGCTGTGATCGAACAATGTTTTTTTCACTCTGTAAATTTGTGCGTCATCAGTGCAGTGATTACTGTAAAACTCAGCTTAACTAAATCTGAAATGGCAGTGCGTACTTCTTAAAAATTTTTAATTTTTAAAAGCTGGCCTAATACCTGCTAGACACCTAGACTGCGGAATGACCAGCGGCGACGTTGAACCGACCAGCATGGAACTCTTTTCAAAATTGGTTGAACCAGGAAAAAACGGAAGCAAAAGATTTGGCCGAACAGATAAAACATAAAGTTCAGAGTTCGGGCAATCAAAACTGAAAGCTGTAAGCTTGTAGTAATTATTGCTCAACAAAATCTTGGCGAGATAGTTCTTAATAAACTGAACCAATTGCTGTCCATCAAGCTAACACTAGACGACTTAGACAGTATTTACCCAATTAAGTCTGGAGCAAAACCGTCAGTCAAAACTGAACTAATTTCATATATAAAAAAGCAACTTATTTTCAAAAATGCACATAGTCTCCGTAATACTACTGTTAACGACTTATGTCTTGAGGACCGCGCGACCAACAGGATCCTACAAAAACATCGTAAACTAGATAAACAAAAAAACTACTCTACCTGAATTATAGGAAACAAACTATTGATTAATGGAGATACGTATACTGCTGAAGATTTAGAAAGAAGCAGCGGATTGGTAGAATCTACCGACGAGGACGTCGAAGCTCAGGTGAACCACAATCAATGTTGAAGTCGATCAACTACACCTACGTCGGAAGTTGCTAATGTTCACGTATCTTCTTAACAGACAATAACAGAGCAACCATCAGTCCTTACCTCTGATACAGCACGTGATAGTTGTACCCCTGTGAAACCGCCAGCTAAGAAAGCTCAGCACGACTTGAATTAACAAGCCGTTGCAAAATCAGGAGCTACGAGAACAAGATCAGCATCTTCTTCATATTCCTCGGGTAAAAACAAGAGATCAAAATAAATGTATCAATGCAGTCTGGATTTAGAGAAAACCATAATACGACAACGGCTCCAGCCAATGTCACTGCTGATGTTAAGAGGCCTTGATCAAGGAATTGTCACATGTTTAGTTCTGCTGGATTACAAAAAAGCTTTCGATATGATAGACCCTGAAATTCTGCTACTCAAGCTACTTAGTTTTACTGTGGTTGCAGTCGGTTTGATAAGCTGGTAATTGTCAAATAGTAATCAAAAGCTCCTATCAGCTTCAAAGTTGTCATAGTCGACTGCTATAAGGTTTGGTGTTCCTCAAGATTCCATATTAGGAACTTTACTTTTATCTCTGTATATATCGGATTATCAGTCCATGCATCGAGTTGGGCCCAAATCCTGCTCATTGATTGTGGTGTTATGCCGAAGTCGCAAAGTTTGTGTCCGGGATCAAATGAAAGAATGGGTGACGTATCTAAACACAAGTCTTTAATATCACACATCCCAGGCACCACTGAACCGATTCTGAAATTTTGCACAATAACAAAATGTGTAAGTTTAGTCGGAAGGTTGAAAATTTCAAATCCAGCTCCAAAAGCATTTTCACCTTTCTCGAAACTGACGTCTATACACATAACAAAAATTGTTTCTAACAGTGTATCGTGCAGTGTTGAGTGAAATCTGAATTCCATAAGTTATATATATATATATATATATAATTACGTAATATGGAATCAAGTTCTTCTTGTGTACCCCTCCACACCAGTTTGTTGTCAGATATATCAGGTCTAGCATCTCTCACTAGATGCAAGTACCTTTAGTCTGTTAGAACTGTAGATCGTAGATAATTATTACAGGGAACTGGACATGATAATCTTTACCTTATCCTAAAATGCATAACTATTGTACTCATGGGTTGCACGATTTGCACCTGTGATAAGTGATACATGTTGAGCGGATCATACGTTAAATACCCACAATAACGCACATGAGATAAGAAGTGATATGTTTACCAGAAACCAGAACCCCGTGTGAAAACGAAAACAGTTGGCGGAAATGCTTTCATATAATTCAGCACACTTCCATCAATTGACCACAATCATTTGTGGGTTACAGAAGCATCCTGCACAGATACTAAACGTGTTAAAAAATAAAAGCTGCTACACATACCCGCATATTAACTTTAAAACGCTTTTCCATCTGAAAAAACGCACAGGTAGTTGTTAGTTAGACGCATTAAACATTAATACCGCACGCGAATTTCAGGGTTGGCTGCCTAGTGTGAAATGGATATAAGAAGAAGCTGATACATTTTTCATTCATTTTGATAATGTTGCAGTCGTGTGCTTATCTTTAAGATTGATGATTGATCGATCACTGCGTATTCTGTAGACTGAATCCAAACCCCTTGTTGATCTTAATGTTATCATAGTGTCAGTTGATAGTACGCGTAAAAATATGTTTTGTGTCTCCTTCACGATATTAGTGCTGATGCAAAGTGTGTCTGCTGAGGAAGCATATCTAAAGGATGATCGGAACTCTACTATAGATGATGTTACTAGTCAGTTACCCGTGACGGACGGCAAAAGCACCAAAAATGGAACACTGTTAGAAAAGCTTGGAGTGCAGCTTGACCATGAAGATGTAGGAATGAATACGTCGTCCGATGATAAGAGTACATTCGAAAAGCCACCGCACTTTGGAAACCAAGTGGCAGATGAAGGTAATACAGTCATAAATTGTCATATTATCGATTAGAGACATAACGACACCTTTCCCATGCTTATATATTCTCTAGCCAGTATGAAATAAACACGCTCCGCTGCCGAAAATAATTAATACGCATAATCAAAATAATGAAATAAGCAAAGCGACCATGCCATTCTAATCGATATCTGACAAGTTACATGAATTGACAAGGTGTTATAAAAATATTCACTGGAATGACACGTTCTCTTTGGAATGCATCCTAGTTTGATAGACTGCAAACTATTTATTATGAAGCAGCCGAATTTGTTTTGTGTATTTTCCAAATCAATATGATTTGCTTCCATCGTGTTTAGACTAACACGTGCGTTAGTGTCACGCACAGTGCGATAGCTATTAGTATGTGCCATCTAATGCCTCTTTTTCTGTTGACCCAACCTATTAAAAAGTGGGATTTGAAGCTGTTAGTTGGGGACCTCGGTTGGCCGCGTGGGTCAGAGTGTCGTGCTACTGATCAGCCGGCCGGCCGGGCCGCGAGTTCGAATCTCGCCTTCGCCATGGATGTTGTGACGTCATGTGTTTGTCCATAATTAGAAATGTAAAATATAACAAACCTAGTTTCTGGCTGCATGGATTAGGTCCTAAAGCCAAAAAAAAAAAAAAAAAAGCTGTTAGTAGGGACGACACGATGCCATCTATCCTTTCTATTATTTAACAAGTGAGTTACCCACATTCGCCGAACATTGAAGGATAGGATAAGTCAAGTGAAATTTGGTCCACCGTCAGCGTTAGCGCCGGTCAAGGTGAATCCGATCAATAGTAAACCTATCGGAACGTAAGGAAATTGATTTAGATTTGATGATTATGATTGCTATTTTTCACTGATATCCATTCTCATCTACCTACCGTATGCCAGGGTACAATTATTGTTGATAGCCGGCAAGAAATAAGGATACCAGAGGGTACAAGATCTCACGAGGATACTATTTATGTTGCATATATACAAGGTCCATTTGTCCAAAATTGCGTAAGAAGTACATATTCAATCTAATTGATGCGATTTTTTGGTATGGACTAGTCCGGAAGGCATGCTTATCGTCCATACAGGCAGACTGATGCTTCCTCTCAGGAGCGATATAAAAAGATAATTCAGGTACTGGTTGACATTTCCAAAGGCAATTCGATTTTTCAAACCTTTGAGTGCCGGCTAAAAATGAAAGCAATATTTTTAGGACTGAAGTCATCCCTACAGGCACAATATTCTATGTATACAATATCCTTTATACTGTTTTATAAGATTCAAATTATGATTAGATACGCATTATTTCTGTACGAGTACTCATAAATCTTGTTGGACTGATAAATTACAAAATGAATTACTTCATTTACATCTTTGCGATATTCGTGAACTTTAAGTGAACAAAAGGCACTAATCGGTATGAATGATGTTTTGCGTGACCTGTCCAGCTGTCAGATAAGGATATTAATGACGTTATTTCACCAACAATTGAAGCGGCTCAATGTCTAGGGGTAATATTATATAGGTTCTTTGTGAATATTTGGTGTTGAGCGCTTAGTTGTTTGTATGTACATGATCTTTGTTTACAATGTCCGAATTCCCTTATTTGCTTATTTAATTCGGACGAAAACGGTTACAAAGCTCGAAGCAAGTGTTCAAAGCATGTATATATTTTGGTATTTGTGTCCTGAAAGTATAAAGCTGTAACCAAATCGATCGAAATATGGGAAAAGATACCTCACAATAATCGCTGCATTTTGGGCAAACTATCATCTTTGCAGCACAACTGACCTCAGCATTAAGGGAATATACAGGGTGGCGCAGAGGAAACGCACGATTTTCACCTAAGCATAACATTTTTTATTTTCAAGATAACTTTGTTTCAGTTACAGCTAAATAAAGTAATGATAGTGCACTTTTAAACTAATGATGGTAAATAACGTCACTCAAGTGTCGCCCTGCTTCGCGCTCGCACATCTCCAACCGCTCTTGAAAGTTGTGCATTACACGTAAAATCATTTCTTGTGGTATTCTTGCAATTTCTTGACGAATAGCAATTTTCAGTTCCTGTAACGTACGAGGCTTGTGAGGGTACACTTTATCCTTAAGGTAACCCCACAAAAAGAAGTCGCATGCGGACAAATCTGGGGAGCGTGGGGGCCAAGGGACATCGCCGAAACGGGAAATCACATGTTCAGGAAACATCTGTCGAATCCATTCCATTGATGCTCTCGCTGTGTGAGCTGTGGCACCGTCTTGTTGGAACCACAGCTCTCCCATGTTTACTTGTTGCCGTTGAAGTTCGGCTAACAGAAAATTTTGTAACATGTGAACATAACGTGCTGAAGTAACTGTTACTGCTCTTTCTTCCTCTTCAACAAAGTAAGGACCAACGATATAATTTACTGATTCCGCACCACACAGTTAATTTTTGACTATGCAAGGGTCGTTGGTGTAGCTCTCGTGGATTTTCGGCCGCCCAATACCTACAGTTCTGCTTGTTTACATATCCTGTTAAATGGAAGTGTGCTTCGTCACTCATCATTATGACGACGTCAGGATCGTCAGCAAAAATGGCCCGCATTCTCGCACAAAATTCTCTACGCTGTGCAAAATCGCTTTCCGTTAGCTCTTGCACGATCATTATATTGTACGGATGATATTGTAAATCGTCATGCAGAATGCGTTGTAACGACCGACGGGACATACGCAGAGTTGGAGCTTGGCGCCTAGTGGACCGTTGGGGACTATCAAGGACCGCTCTTCTCACTGTTTCGATATTGCCTGGAGTCCGCACGGTACGGGGAAGGCCAGGTGGCTTCCTCTTCATTACGGATCCAGTACTTCGAAATGCTTCAACCCATCGGAGTATTGTGTTTCGATCTCTAATTGGCCCGTGGCGTTCAACATTGAACTGTCGACGGAATAAACGTTGCACGATCACTACAGAATCATCGTTTCGAAAAAATTGCTCGACGGCAAACACACGATGCTCCGTCATCCACGGTGCCATGGCTGAAACTGCATCGCATGTGTTCTCTGCTGGCGGTGCGGCGAGGTCATATCCCTATTCTGTGCGAAATACCATTCGGTCAGAAAACATGCGTTTCCTCTGCGCCACCCTGTACGAGGGCTGACTCCCATGTACCAGACATGACTTCATTGCAGTATAGCTGAGTATTTGAGAAAAAACACGGTCAATGAAGAAATTTGTAACAAGGTACTTACGCCTCATTTTACTGATCCGGGGCACAAGGTTGCGCCAAAGGCACAAAACCGACCAATGAATAGGTGTTTAGGAAGTAATGGATCTAAGAAGTATAACCGTAAATCAACTGGCTTAGTTACAAATACCTGTTTTTCTCATTTCCGTCTGGGCACAGTTTCCGGCTGCGGCCACAAAATCCACCAGTGAAAAAGTAGGTTTTGCGCCATACTCCAAGCATGGACCAAATCTCATATAATATCTAGGTTGATATAACAGCAAGTACTGATACATAAGTAGGTAACAAGTGGCTTAGTTTGAATTTAGCACCCTGTATATTACTCAATATCTGAAATCTTTATAAGATCTTTTGCCTAGCTCTAGCGGTTTTTGAGAAATATGAAACATTGTGAAAAAAATCACAAATAATGTCCTTGTCGAACGACTTGGTCTGTCACAGTAGAGAGTCTACTTCAGTAGACATCATTTGATATTTTAGGAACTAATAATACAATGTGATTAAAAAAATGGATGAAAATTAAATTGAATGGTTGCCAAGATGTTTTCAATTGAAAACCCCCTATTTTTATTATCATCTTAATTGCAAAATAGTAGTTCCGGAAATATTTGCAAACACTCGCTTTCTATCCCTTTATAGGCATTTTTTATTGTCGGATTTGTGTGAGGTTCAAAAAATAATGTTCCCCACAAATAAAAGACAAAATGACTATCGATTACCGCATCTGAGTCACTTCATAAAGGTTTTTCAGGCAGCAAGTAGCGAAAGATGCAATTGTAGTGTACTCTATGCAGCACTGTAACTATTGTTCTAACCTTATACAGGGTACCCCATACAGTTGTGGACGAAATATTACTCATAAACAAATGCACTTTGGGAAAATCTATTCATGGCGTGTTATACATGACATTTGGGGGCACATTTCTAAAATATTTGCAATTATACAGAGTGTGCCAATTTTGACCTACATATCAAAGCTGTGAGTTTTAAATGGAATGCCTCAAACTTTATTGCATATTTGGATAAACCAATTCAAAACAAGAAGACTGATTTAAGAAACTATGGGGGTTTTGGTAATTAGCTACTGAGATGTAAGGTGTTTTGTCCAGAAAACCAGTCGATTTCGGCAACCCAGTAATCCGCCATTTTGAAATGAGTGCTGAATTTCTTATAAAAAAAAATCTACACACCTCAGCTTTTATCTTATTTATTACTTTTTTTTTCATTTATATTGTTGCTCATAGAGGGTGGTCAAAAACGCAAACATTTTCATTCAGATAAAATCACTAGATTTTGAGTTATTAAGCTTTTAATAGAACAACACACCAAAATAAAGGACTGAATCACATCATCCATGGTAACAAAAGACAAACAGTGAGCTAGTTCCACGTTGCCAGTAAGAGTACCGATTTGACGTAAAAGCTAATAACAATCAGAACAGTACAAATCAGCTTCAAGCGTAACAGAGAAACACAACTACAACAACAAAATAAAGAAACAACTATCACGACTCAAGACCTAATCTAAAAAACCTGCTCGAAAATATCTCCACCATGTTGAATACACAGCCGTAGTCTTTGGACAAATGACCGTTGCACATCCCTCAGCATGTGTTCCCCATGTTCAGAAAATCATCCTTAATCCTTTCCTTCATATTTTCCGGGGCAGACGGTGGATACGAGTAAACCTCTTGCTTAACGTAGCCCCCTAGAAGTCCATTGGTGTCATATCTGGTGATCTAGGAGGCCAATGTATAAGCCCATCAAGACCGAT